TATAAGGATATCTGCAAGAGGGATCCACTGTGCCAATGATACGGCTCAGTGAAATATATAAACCCAAATATTAAGTATGAACAAGCCATGTGAAAAGTGTGGCTGGGGGTATACAACTTGTATGAATTCAATCATCTAAGGGCATGAACATAATATATCAAACATGGTTAAATTTAATTCTAGTTAGGGTTTTGTGGCCTTAAGTATTGTGTGATCCAGGGCATTTGGTCAACTTATCATTTGGTGTATTATTTAAACCCAGATAGTGGTCAACATGGTCACTAGAATGTAGCCAGTGTGAATCTAGTTTGTGCAATTGTTCAAAACTGTACTATGATTTTCTACTGGAATGGATCCAGTAGTACCAAATTTTTCTTGTTTATAACTTGATAAAAATATAATTTTATTTATTGCATGCCTTCTTCTCTATTGATGAGTACTTCTATGCTAAGATATTTCAGTATTCACAAACTTAAAAAAAACTAAGTATATTTCTGTTGTATTTGGCAGTACGTATTTGTTGTGGTACAAACAGTGGGATCCTTTTTTGTTTAAGTAAGTTCAACTTACTTAAAATGGCTTGCTTGCCTCCAATCATTTAGCTACATTGTGCTATGTTTCTTCAGTTTTTATTATATAAAATGTGTTGGGCTAGAGCACTGTCTAAGTCTCCATGAGAAATTTTGGTCTAAAGGGAATTAGTTGTGATGTTAGGCAATGGATACTGGTGGCCAATAAAAATGCAGATTAACTTCATTGGTATTCAGCCAAGTAACATTAATTTGCAGGGAACTAACTGCTTGGTACACTAAACCTCTACTGATAACTTTTTGGGGGTTTCTTTTTATTTGAGTTTGAAATACAGTTTTTGTTTTTTAAATTTTTCAGTATATTTGTACTATATATGGAAGGTAAATATATATATTGAAGAATTTAAGCATACTTCATAACCGCACATCTAGTATTTCCCTTCAGTTCTTCTTATTTTGACACTCTGGAATCCCCATACATAGACAACTTTAATAAAAGCCTAGAGTTTTTCCCAGTATATAGTTCATCCATTTAGCACTAAATCCTAGTTAAGGTGATCTTCTTCTTCTTCCCTTGGCCTTAACTCCAAATAAGACCTTAACAATTGGGAATGTTGCTTTATACTATAGTATTGGGAGATAGATTGCTTTCCAAATTTGCTATGGTTTATAGTGTATTTATCATAATAGTTTGTAATGCATTTATTATAACGGATAATCAGACAATGATTTACTATTCTGTGTTAAATATTCACTTTAAATGAAGACATCTGTTAAATATATTTACTGAAATCTATAAAAAAAACTTTGCTATGATTTCTCACAAAGAATTTTTCAAATAGGACTTTAATTTAATAGGTTTCAGTATTTCTCCATCTTTTGATAGTTATGAGATAAAATGTCCTATTTTAGGCACATTAATATGAGAAAAGTGTAAGCCTTCACACACTGTCTGTTCTTAATTTATATGAGTTAAATGGGTAATTGTTTTCCCTATCAACTATTGGCTCAATGTAGGAGAAAATTGTTGAGAACTAAATGCACTTTTATTGTGGTGAAAGAGAAAGAATATTCATTTTGACTGCCAAGCGGTTATAAATATAATCTGTTCTATCTGCTTCATTTATGAATTATACCTTTGAAAGGCAGAATGTAATAATTGAAGTTCTATATTCCTTGCTAAAAGAGCCAAATTATATAATGGGTTAAATGTGTGCATACTCATCATCCCCATTCCCCCAACTTTAAGGTTGCACACATTGATGGAGAAGGAAATGAATGTGGTTTGAAAGAGAGATTTGTATGTGTTTGTTGTTAATAGATTTTCTTTGCTATGATCTGTATGAAAGTTCTGCCACAAGCTGTGATTTTTTTTTCTTGGGAAGAAAAGTTATAAAAAGCAGATTTAAGGAGGAGAAAAAATAGCTTTGGTACAGTGGGAAAATATTTCACTCCTTCCTAACATACTGCTTAGATTGAAAATAACACAAGAAACATATGAATTATAAACTGGCTTCTTTAAATGTTGGCTTAATGCATTCTGAGAATTTAACCAAATGTAGTTTATTCTGTAAGAATTTGGTGCATTGTGTGAACCAAATCTGTCTGAATTCTCAAGTTATTACTTTAAATGAGGATGCATATTAAATCCATATTTTAACATTTTTTGTTCAAAAATTGTAAAATGGAAATGGTTATGGGTAATTCTTAGACTTTATGCATTGCTATATGGACAGTGTCTTTTTATCAGATATGATAATGAATATGCAAGGAACAAACCAATTTTCATTTTGGTTCAGAAAATGTATGAATATCATAAATACATAAATAATCATGTCTGATGTCTGAACATGCTTTGGTTTGATGTTTGCATTTGTCATGTGGCACACTCTAAAACTCTTGAAATATGCAGTTTTCAGTAAGACCAGTATTTTAAGAATTTTAAATATCCTAAAGCTAATTTTAATTGTTCTTAGCAACATAACACAAATCTGAAGAATTACAATGATAAAATTGCAATAAAGATCTATTGATCTGTTGAAAAACAAATTTTATTTTTGCTGATTGATAATCTGTACAGTTAAGAGAAGCAATGTTCATAAAGCATACTAAACCATACCTTGTTTTATTGCGGGGTTTTTAAAGAAACCACAATTGACTCAGTTTATACAACATACTAAATTATAATTTATAGTGAACTAATTATGATTACTAGATTCATATAACACATTAAACCAAAGCCAGATAAACTACATTATATCTGTTTATATATTTTATATGAAGTCTATAAGCTGAATGCAATTAATTTAGAATTATGAAAAGGGGATTTTGAAAAGTAAAGTACCCCAGATACAGAGTTTAGTAGTATATGGATATTTAAGCCAGTATTTCTGGAAAACAATCCCTGACATACAGAAGCTTCAGACCATACATACAATATGGAAATCCAAAATTATCTTCACAACGTTCATAAACTTTGACCATTGATCCTGAACTTTAATAAGAGTTTTTCATCCCTATCCCCCCAAAAAAGGTTTATTATATCTTCCTTGATTCATACCGATATAAAGAAAACTAGCCCTCCCTAAAATGAGCTTCCATTTACTAGGTGATCCCTCGATGCCACCTAGTTATCACTGTACTACATAGATAACTTTATTTTTCCAGTTCACTCATAATTCCTAAGTAGTGCTTGTTGAATGTGTTTTATGTCTGGATTCATCAATAATGTTAAATCATGATTTACAATTTGGCTGGATTCATAGAATACACCAAGCTAAAATCAAACCATACTACAGTTTAGTGCAGGGATCAGCAACCCATGATTCTGAAACAGCATGTGGCTCTTTCATCCCTCTGCTGTGGTCCCTGTTGCCAGTTGGCACCACAATTTTGAGAGTAGCTTCTGGTTTGTGGGGAGGAAGTGGGGCACACCAGGAGAAGACTCTATGGCAAGGGATGGATTTTCCTGTCAGCTTCACAACTGATAGTGCTTTTGGTTAGGACAGGTAGAGGAAAAAGGATGCTGCTATGATGGGGAAACTGGACTTCCGGTTGGTTCCAGAATTGAACAGGGGCTTCCAATTAGGACCTTTGTGGCTCTTTGAGTGTTTAAGGTTGCCAACCCCTGGCTTAGTGTATTGTATAAACTTAATTTGCTATAGATATGACATGATTTAGAGAAAAAATACAGTTGCAAATTTTCACATAAATTGTTTCACCAAAATTCATTCTTTCAAAAGTGCTTGAAGTTACAGAGATGCTTTTTCTGCAGTTGTTCTCTACCTCATTATAGAAATTGTGTTAGAAATATTAGTCATGCAGAACAAGGATCAAATCCATAAATGATAGAGACAACCTTGAGGAAAGTCTTGTCTACTTCCTTGATACAACAAGCTTGAATACATTCTAAGTTGCAGGTTATTGGCTGTCAATCTCTCACTTGGCTTCCATGTCCAAGTAAATGTGATTTTTATCCACAAAATGCCTAGATAATTATAACAGACAAAGTTACATAGTTCTCTTTTTTTGGAAAATTTCCTATCTAACATTTTTCCACAAATTCATTTTGGGGGAGAACAAAAATATGCTTAACACAGTTTCAGACTTAGAAATCGCCTGTATCTATTATTCACTCTCTCAATCTATTTTTTTCTGAAAGTAAGAATATTTACTGATTGTAAATAGATTGTTTTATTATGCAATTTTCTGATCTTGGTTTCACTAGGTTGTGTTTTCATGAGCATTGTGAGATATTTCTTGTCACCTGCCCTAAAGATTTGACCTAGTGACCTGGAAATCAAGAAAATGTCATGTTAGTGGCTACTAATTAGTGGATCTACAGAGCTGCTTCATCTGGCCTTTCAACCTTGTACAGACAGCATCCAAAGCTGTCATACTCATCATGCTAAGAAAACAAGTCAGCACCACATTTTTTAAAGTAGTTTAAACACTAAAAAAAGGTCCAGCTGGGACTAAACAAGAGTATATAGGTTAGGGCAGAAATTAACCTATAATGTAGTACTCGTATTTCTATCTCATGCAGTAAAGATGCCAAAAAGTAGAATAGCTTATGGGATACCTATCACTGTATGTTGTGAACGTACTGTGTATATTACATGACCAGAGAAGCACAAATGCTTCTCACTTATTTTGCATTTTTAAAATAAAATTCCGTCACTGTGGGATAAAATATCCAGTTGCAAAATGCAGATAATGTCTAGGAATAAGAGGACTGGAACAAAATAGACTTTTTAAGGCACTAGACATTTTAATCCTTAGATGGATTTAAAGAAACACTTGGTTAAAAGGCATCGGAGTGCTCGTTAATCAATGTTGCATCCTGGTATCTCCTGAGTGTCGTGGGGTTTTGAGAGGTAGAAAAGATTGGCTACAGTAATTAAAGCAAAGAAATCGATCACAAAACAAACATATCAGGAAATACATAAAAGTAATCTTTTATTTTCACAGGTCTTTAAGATCGAAGTACTAATGAATGGAAGAAAGCATTTTGTTGAAAAAAGATATAGTGAATTTCATGCTCTCCATAAAAAAGTAAGTATACTGTGCAAATTGTTCAAGTAATACTGTCTGTAACCCATTTCCATTCATTCCCAAATAGCGACTGCACTTGATTTCTGAATATGTTAAGAAAGCTTATACTTCACCTTACTGTCCATTTTCAAACAATTAAAGGTAAGTAGGTAGGTAGTAAGTAGGTACTATTAGGTAAACTCCCTGTTGTGAGAGTGTTGTTGGAGAACACACAAACCAGCATACAGAGACACTATATTTTAAATAGGCTTTTGCTTTCATGGAAATAGAGGTATCAGAGTCCATCAAACAGTCCAAGTCATACAATTTTAAGACAGTCAGTCATCAATGTCTTCAGTTAAGGGATAATCCAAATAACATAGTCCATAATCATACGAACAGT